TTTGCTATTTCAGCCTAAATTTTGCTTTGAAATGTTTCTGTGGGTCTGTTGCAAGCATGTTAAAATCAGTTTTTTTCTTCAGTCTATAAATTTCTAGGCAGGTGGCTAGCAACATATAAATGATGAGTTAATGAGCGGTGCCGTGGCGTTAGCCGCACTGATTGTCATGCTGCACATGCCCTGTCACACATTGCAAGCTGTCCCTCAAAAATAGCTGATTTGAACCTGATTCTGTCAGCTTTGCATGACAGCATCTCTAAGTGTGATGTGCTACTGACACACAAAAATGTGAATTTAATAGCTCTGTCAAATGGGTATGATAGTGTTGGTCTTGCAATGCTTCTCAAATTGGAACTCATCCTGTGATATATATTTATAACTTTTTTAGTCTACATACGTGCTTTGGTGTCAGTGTATACTTGGGCTTGTGTGTGTATGTTTGTACATAGATAGATGTTTAGTGTGCTTGTGTAAGGACATGTGGATGGATGCCAGTGTGGGTACGTGGGAGCATGTTTGTACTCCTGTGAATTAGACTTGTCCATGGCGTTTAGGTATGGTTACCCAAATCATTTTTCCTGAAAATTTAATTTTGTTCAGGATGTCCAACGCTCGTTCGTGTAATGGTTCGGCTTGGCCAATTTCATTTCTGGGGAAATATTTGTTGAAACATTCTGACAAGCCAAAAATGGTGAGAAAATGGGCCAGTCTATGTACTGCAAAATATATACATAATATAAATAATACCTATATGTCTTTCAGGACACTGATAGGGCTTCTCACCTGTTTGTTCACAAATCAAGTGAGAAAAAATAAACAATAGAGGTAAAAAGAGAAAAACAGTAAAATAAAAAAAATATAATAAATAAATAAAATATATATCTATATTTATATGTCATTTTTTTAATCTTTTGGTCAGTTCTCACTTGATGTGAGAATAAAATCAATATTTAGTGGCTGTCCCACAGCCATCAAGCATCTTGTTTTCCCATCAAGCAATTCTTTTTCTGGCGGCATGGCCAAAACTCGAATACCGAATGTTCAACTTTCCGTTGTTTGTTTTTACATCCTTATGGTGGTTCGAAGACACAGAATTCCGCAAAACAGTGATCAGCCCAACTTTATCTGACTTGCAATTCAGATGAAAAGGAATGTCTGTTGTGATTGGGTATCTTGTTTGTATAAATCTGGATGCGAGAAAATGCTTATAAATGAGTGTCTGGGTAAGAATGTTACTTGTTTAGGGAATTGAAGAATTTATGGAATGTGTGTAAGGTTATCCTGAAGATTATACAAGAAAAAATGTTTGGTACTTAATATTTCATGGACTAGATGGGTCAGAAGGTTCATATATGCCATCATTGTCTGTGTTTTTGGTTTTGTTTCTACAAGATAGTGTCATGTGTCATGTGTAAGTGCATATGTGCGTAATTGTCAGTGAATGTATATGTGTGTAGGGGTAGGTGTCAGTGTGCACACCAGTGGCTGTTAGATATCATGCAAAACAATCACGGCTGCTGCTGTATATAGTACATTGCAAGAAACAACGTTTTAAAGATGGTGACATGAAAACATTATTATAAACATCCAAAAACATGGTCCTAAAGGGCCACTTAAATGGTAACGAGGTATAACGGCAAAACAGATGAGTAGTTATAATAGTACCAAAGTAAACATATTAAAAAACCAAGTATATATATATATTGGCTATTCAGGCCAAAAATTCTAAACACACTTTGAATTCCCGGCAATTCACACTAATTAGTAAATAACTCACATAGATACAATTTAACGGTGTGATTGCCGACAGCTGCGCAGAATATTCCAAGAAACTACTTTGGTATTTAAGCAAAGGTTATTCACTAAACATAAGCAGGACATTAGGCTTGCCAATAATAAAAGTATATATACAGGGGCGGACTGAGAACCCTCAGGGCCCCCGGGCAAAATAAATCAAGGGCCCCCTTACAGGCCCCACCCATACTCTGCAGCAAGCGCCACTCTTGTCCCGCCTCCATGCACCGCCTCCAGCCACACCCTACACAATCTTTAGACACAAGGAACAAAAGGGCAATAAGCCCTTCGAGGCCCCAGTAGAGACTACAATTGAGGGCTAATGGGCCATGGAGGGAGGTCTTTCTAGCGGAGGCTATCTCAGTGTCCTTTAGAGAGTGTGTTAGATAGAATCCCCTCCAAGCCCCATTAGAGACTACAATGGAGTCTAAAAGGCTTGGAAGGGGGTCTTTCTAACAGAGGCCATCTCAGCGTCCATTAGATATCCCCTGGAAACAGTCGCCTCCAGGCCCCAGTAGAAACTACAATTGAGG